ATGTTTCCAAAGTTCAGGGACCAAATTGCAAATACTTAATAGTTGATTCAAATGACAAAATGAAGATTGAAGATTACATAGGATCAATTGGACCTGAATAGAATACTAAGGACTAAAATAGCATGAAAAATGATCAAATTAACATTAGAAGAAGTTCAACGAGATCCCAAAATTGCCAAAGCCATGCGTGCACATGGGATAATGAAGTTGTGTGTGAAACCCCAAAATCTATAGAACCTGAGTATGAGAATGTTAAACCACGCATATGCAATGGTCTATACCATGCGTATGCATGGCTTTCTAGCTAAACGAGATTTGGTTTCCTTCTCTAATACAAATAATTATGGGAACCAACTTTCGACGTGTTACCAAAATATGTAGAAAATGAGGATGAAAGTGTTGAACCTTGCACATGTAATGGTTTATATTGAGAAGCGCATTTTTGTGCATTTATTTATGTCATATTACCAAAGTTTCAAATTATTAAATTCTACTTGGGTTAATTTTCTTTTGTTTTTAGTTATGGATATTAATCGCACAATTGACGAACTATATTGCACTATTTGAGAAAGAGGAAACCTTGGAGAGAAAATTGCATTAAATAGACAATGTAATTAAATGGACCTCAATTAGACTTGATTTGGAATCAAAATTCAATGACTACTTGGACTTCTAATTTGATTAAACACAAGGGCTGAATTGATTATATATACGCACAGAAAGCTGGGGGAGAGAATTAAAAAGGCGACTGGTTGTGAATTAGAAGAGAGAGAAAATGCAGCCAAAATAAGAGATACTCGCAAAAGTCGGGAGAATAGAGAAAAGGGCAGATTGGCAGCTGGAAATTGGAAAGAAAAAGAAAAAATAAAAGAAGAGGACGCACATGCAAGAGGAAGAGATGGAAGACGGTGGCTTCATTGAAGAAAATAATTCCAATTTCTTGTTCAATAATTTATCAATAATTGTGCGAGGGATTTAAGAATTAAACACGTTATGTCAAATTTCAATGATGTCATTTTTTTTTTCACTTTCATAATTTTTTTTCCCGAACATAATACTAGGCTAAAATATTTTTGTGCTAGGTTTTCAATGAGCCTTGTATTGTGAACTTTTAACTCTTGATTTTATTTATTTTTGATAATCAAAACATTTTTTCAATTATTGAACGATTGACATGAATTTATTTTTTCTCTACAATTACATGCACAATAGTTGTATAAGCTTTGTGACTTATTTTACCTTTGAAAGACTGAAAATAAGCTAAACATGGTGTCAATTATCATAGAGTTATATAAGAGATAGAAATATATTACTATACTTTATGTGATCTTAAGTATTCATAAATCTTTAATATATTTTTATATGTTCACATCCGTCATATAAATATAATTGGGTTACGTGTAAGAATATGTTTAATTCTAATCGAGAGAGCTTGTTATACAAATTAGGAATATTGATCTTTATAATTGAATCGTGTTGTCAAATTTATAAATTTCAAAGTTAAAGAGGATTGATATAAATGAATTTGAGATCCTAATACGTTTTTCATCATTATATGAGATTTAGATATTTAGGGGGTGTTTGAGCCACATTATTTTGTTAATAATGCATTCTTGAATAGTGTATTGATGAGAAATGTGTGGTTAAAAAATAAGGAAAAGTTTTTGATCTGCGTGTAATATTATTTTATTAAAAAATGTGTGGTTGAAATGATGTCAAATCACTATTTAAGAATTTATTTTTTTGAAATAATGTGGCTCAAATAGGCCCTAATATTGTTGACTTGAAAATTAGCAATTTGAAAGCAAATTTAGTGAGAAGTTGCAACTTCAAGGCACACTTAATGAAAATTCTTGTTTCATGGCATGTTTGTTTAATTATTGGAGTTTTATGCTGTTTTTATAGGTTGATGATTACTTAATGATAGTAACTTATATATAGACACACAAACACACACGGAAATAATCTTCTAAGTACTGGTGCTTAATTTATGTTAAGTATCGGTGACATGACATACCATTTAATTGTTGAATAAGTTAATGGTAGGTCCATGAATTTAATGATTCACTAATTAAATGGTGTGTCATGTCACATGTACTTAATATAAACTTAGCATCGGTGCTTAGGACATCATTACTGTATATATATGTGTAAATCTTCTATATTTTTTTAAAAAATATTGTGTCAAAAATATCTTTTGAAATTTTTTTTAGCGAACATTTTATTTTGATATTTTTAATGTAAAAAATCAGACTAGGCCAAAGCCAAATCAGTTGGTTTGGGTCCAATTCGATTCTATAATTAAATATGGAACCAATTGTTACATTTTAAAAATTTTCAAATTTCAGTGGTACTTGATTTCGGTTGGTTCCCTTCCAAACCAGATGGAATTGGCCCGTGGCCATTCCTAAAGAAGGCAAACCATCTTAAAATATTTTGAGAGGATAGCCAAGTTTTCAATTACTCCGTTGTTTCCTTAGTTTTTATTTTCTATTCCACAACTTTAATTATGAAAAGGCAATTGGGTCTTTTGCAAAATTTTATTTTCTTTCCGATTTTAAATATTTAAAATTTTGTCATAGATTTTTCATTTTTTGAGTAATTTCTTAATTTTTATGTGATTCCGATTACTTTATTTGTTTAAGGACAATTAGGTCTTTCGAAAGTTTAGGTTTTAATTTGTACATTTGTTATTTAAACTCTCATTACAGCTTTATCTTTTTTACATGACTTTTGATTGAAAATATGAGATATTTCATAGATGCCGCCGAACTTCCATTAGTCTAGGAGATCTTGAATACTTCTATGATGCTTTCAATTGTTTGATCCAAATCAGTGTAAGAATTTTGGATCATAATGATCAAGAAAGGCCATTCACTCAAAAACTAAATACAATCATAACGATTGAATTCTAAATTTTAGAAATTTTTTGTGATTCATTTAATTACAAAAAAAATAGTTAAATATAGTTGTGATAAATATTATTTATAATAAGACAAATATGCGAAGAATGTGAATGTTACGATTTCTTTATCATCATCCCTACAAGCTAGAGTAATGACAAATATAGGTATTGCTAATTTTTTCTTTCATCCCTAGATTTTTGGCAAAAAAATTCAGTGTCCCAAACACTATATCATATTGCATCACAAACACTTTGTTGCAAAAAATAAAAGTTTATTGCCATAAGTTTCCCACCAAACAATATATTGGCTCCATGCATTCCATCATGTTTTTTGCAACCATCTTTATTTTTTGTCACACTTTGATAATTCACAATTTTTCACGTAGGCTTATGTTTTTTTGGTACTTTTTTGTCACAGTATTTATGACAAACTTTATAAACATGTCGTGCTAAATCATCTATTGCAATAACTTTTTGTATGTCGCAAAATATTTTGTTGCGAAATAACAATTTTATTGTACTGGTATGACATGCGATTAATAGTATGACAATTTAATATATATCACCTAGAAAAAGGATAATGAAGGAGGAATTTAGGTATTGAATGGGTGAAAATCATGTTTTCTCGAGATTTTCTCATTTTTTATTTTATATCAACAACTTTAATTATGACAGGAAAATGAGGACTTTTGCACGATTTTATTTTTCTTTTCGATTTTAATTATTTAAACTTTGGTCATAGATTTATCGTTTTTTGGTAATTTATTAGGTCTTATTTGTTTCCAATTACTTTAGTTACATGACAACAATTATGTCTTTCGAAAGTTTTGGTTTTACTTCATACATTTGCTATTTAAACTCACATTATAGCTTTATCATCTTCTATATGACTTTTGAATGAAAATATGAGATTTTTCATAGATGTTGTTGAACTTTCTTTTTTCTACGGAATCCTCAACATTTCTATGGTGCTTTCAATTTTTTGATCCGATTAATATTCATATATTGGAATAGTTGATTTGTTGATCACATGTTTTAATGTATTTTCTTATGTGTCTCGTGAACAAGGGCTTACGCGATGATTTTATCGAAACCGATTTCAAATCACCAAAAACTCTCATGAAATCATGTGCATTTAAGGGTTTGCAACCAATAGTTTGTCTTAGTACCATTAGATGATCATAAGAGCCTAAGATTTGTATCGACCTGATTCTCCATAGTGTTCCAGCATATTAATAAAGCATCATTAAATCTACTATTATTTATACAATTCTCTTTATGTAGAGGAATGGATATGTTATCATGGTAATTCACGATCTTTTATCTTTAATTTGATAAAGTATCTTGTGAATTACGCTATAACTCATATTTACTGTTGAAGTTTTGAGCACAACATAAAATAACATAATATTATTGCTTGATATTGATCACATCTACAAGGATTAACAAAGTTATTTAAGTTAATATTGCTCATTTTTTTTGAAATATGTTCATCAAATGCACATCTAATTTGTAGGTGAACGTAGATTAAAAACTTGGAATTGAGATTTTGTAAACATGTAGATGATGAAATTATTACTTTTTTATTTTCATTTCATTATTTTGTAAATGTTTGAAGGTATACGTAATACTGATGTCGGTGCATGAAGTTAATATCAAGGACACCCTTTTTTGTGTTACTCTTCTAATTTTCTTGTGTAAGTATTTTCATAATTTTAAATTATTTTGGATACATGTATCGCCTACAAAAATTAAACTTTTTAAATTTCTATTTTAGCCATCTCTATGCACTTAATGTTAATGGATTTTTCCCTTTTTTTTCATAGCTAAGTTGGAATATTGATAATCTTATGTTGACGAATTTTTTATTTCACTTGTACACGACAATTGCCACTTCCCAAAAAAGCCAAGAAAATGTTTATCCATATGATTTTGTTTCTTATTGTATGAAAATTAAATGCTGCAATTTAAAAAAGGAAAGTAAACAATTGCTATTCTCCCAATAATCCCAAATTCTTTATTTATAAATAACATCTTCTGGAATTAAAAATACTGTATACAACACCATTTCACCCTCCGAAAATCATCCCTAAACATGACTAGGGGGAAAATAAAGCTTGAGTATATTGCCAATGATGCAGAGAGAAGGGCATCTTTTAGAAAGAGAAAGAAGGGAATAGTAAACAAGATTAACGAACTTTGCACCCTGTGCGATATACAGGCTTGTATTATAATCTATGGTGCCTATGAACCTCAGCCAACAGTTTGGCCATCTCGGCTCGATGCTCAGCAAATTATTTCCAGATTTCGGGAACTTCCAGAAGTGGAACAGACCCAGAGACTGTTCAACCAGGAATCCTATACGATTCAAAGGGTTCAGAAGTCTCGTAAACAAGCCGAAAACCTTCAGAGGATTAACAGAATAACAGACATGGAAATTCTGATGCACCAGTGCATGGCTGGTTTGTCCAGTCTGCAAAATGTCCCTCTAAATGGCATAACCGAAATGGGACGCTTGGTGGAACAAAACATTCGGGACATCAAGACCCGAATGAAGGAACTGGAAAAGAACTGGGTTACGAATTTACAAATGGGTGAGATTAGCTCCACTCCTCCTAGGGATGACGCCGCTGGGCCCAACTTTAGGGAATTAAGTCTCTTTCATAAATCATAACCTTTTACTTTCATCTGTGTTTATTTTTGGATTAATTATAGTGGTTTGTTTTTATTCTTCCTGTGATTTTGTTTTGGCTATCGTGTCTGTTACTATAAAATTAAAATATTAAATTCATGAAATTTTTGAATGATGTTAAGTTCTAAAGTTAGAACCCTTCAGTACAAATTAATTATAATTTCGATTATTGTTGCTTAACTACAGTCAATGAGAATTCGTTATTTCTGGATATAACTAGAGAGAAGAAATTTTATGCATTTTCAAATGATCGATATAGAAAGAATCTGAGATTAAAAAAAATGTATGTTTGAAGTTGGAATAGTGCATATAAGTTAAAATTTACTATACATTTCCATAATTGAAGTCAAATTTACATATTTTCTACATATTCTATGCTGTGTATTGGTTGTTCAAAACCAACAATGGAATGAAAAAGAATAAATAAATAAATTAAGAGAGGCATGTGACTGCATGGATTTGTACCATTCGGTCACATGGTACAATTTATTGACTGTTGGGTGGCCGTTTCTTAATGTTATGGTTTCAATTTCGGTGACTTTTCACTCGTTTTTTGACACCATTTCACACTGCTGGTTGTGGCCTATATTTAGAAGATTAATGTTCAAGGCCTTGATATGAGAAAACAATTTGGAGAATCATTCCAATTGCACAATCAAAGATTAAACCCTTGCTCTTCATTCATATTCATTTTCTCTACAGTGTTCTTCAAGTTTTGGATAATTTCACTTTGTTCTTTGGTGAAATTCATCTCAAGGCTTGTTATAATCCTTCAAATCATTTGTCGGAATACCCTTAAGTATATCATAAATCCCGGAGAGGGGAGGGGGGGAATAATGTTTGAGGATAGCAATCCCGTGTTTAAGCCTTCGAAGTTGTTATTGATTATTTTCCGATTTCTTCATCTCATTGCTCCAATTCTTGCACCATTTTCTTTTGTCTCATCTCCACCCTTCTATTAGTTTCCAACATTCTCAAATGTTATTTTTCTGCAATGGAGAGCGAGACAACAATGACAACAATCAAACTCATGAATCAAGACTTGATACGGTTGGATCGGTTTGATGATACAAACTTCACGAAGTGGCAAGACAAGTTGAAGTTACTCCTTACTGCATTGAAGATCTCCTATATTTTGGATCCAGATTTAGCGTCATTATCAGAACCCGCAAATGGAGAGGTTGAAGCAATCAAGGCCAAAAGACAAAAACGCGAAGAAGATGAATTGATATGCCTCTTGTCACATACTCGGTGCATTGTTGGACTGTTTATATGACTTATACACAAACACAACATCGGCAATGGAGATTTGGGATGCATTAGAGAGTAAATACAAAGCGGAAGATGAAGGTACCAAGAAGTTTTTAATTTCTAAAAACTTTGACTTTAAATTTCTTGATAATATTCCCTTTCTTCCCCAAGTACACGAGTTACAAGTGATTGTCAACAAACTAAAGGCGATGAAGATTGAAATCTCAGAGACTTTTCAAGTAGGGCTATAATTGCTAAACTCCGGGGTACT